GGCTGCAGCCAGCTCTTTCCCGTTCGCTCAGGTCCTCTAGTGGCCGGTACTGAGATTCCCATCACTGATCAGGTTGGCTGGACTTATCTGTCTTCCTTAAGCTCCAGATTTCATTTCCATTCATTTCTTTTAAGAAAAGCCTGAGCCAAGCAGCAGGTTCAAAAGGACAGGTCGTAAGGAACAAGAAGGACAGGCAGCTGGGGTGCAGGTCCCAGGAGTCTGTTTTCCCAACACTGAAGCCGTTTTATTTAGTTGTCATTCCCACTTTCTTCTGCTCCAAGGGTTCGGGCTTGGAAAGCAGATTTCTCACGCCCGAGGCTCAGGGAGCTCCCCAAGCCCACCGTGCCTGCGCCTGGAGCCACAAAACCCAAGTCTGGCCCCAGTTCCTCTGCGGGCACACGGTCACAGGCAGGCAAGGCTCACGTGAGCGCTCCACAGGAGCAGGACGTTCGTACTCACGGGCACATTCCCGGTGGCAGACGCTGCGTCTGTCTCTTTCACATGGACTATAGTCTCCTTTAAATCCTCCTATACCCCCAAGGAGTGGGCATCTTTATCCCTATCTCACAGATGAAAAAACTGAGGGCAAATTGGATACCGTATTTTGCCGTGTTTAATGCACACTTTGTTGCCCAAATTTTTTAGGGGAAACTAAGGATGTGCATTATACAAGGGTGTAATGTTTACATGCCATGGGTATAATAATCCCATGTATAATGCGCACAAGTGTGGTGCTCATTATACACGGTAAAATACGGGTAAGTGTCCTGTTCAAATTAACACAGCAAAATATTTTAGAGCTTAAAGGGATGTTAAATATCATCTCCAGGCGTGGTCTGGACCAGCAGCATCAGCACCACTTGAAGCTTCTTCAAAGGGCACATCCCGGGACCACCCCCCACCCAGACCTGGAGGTGAGCCCAACCGTCTACCAGCCCTCCAGGCAACTGTGATGCACCCAAGTTTGAGAACACCTGTTCTGATTCAAAGAGGTGAAGCAATCTGCCCACGGTAACAGAACTAACCATGACGTCCAGGACAGGCACTCTCAGGGTCGCGCTGTCCGGCCTGGGTAGCTCAGGATGTCCCTTTCATGAGGAGTAAAGACAGAAGCCCACGGTGCAACAGAGCACACACCTGCGTCACTTTCTGGCGATACTGGCTGGGATCTCAAACAGGGCAGGAAAGGGAAGACCCTTCCCTTCACGTGCTGGTATCCTTCTCCCAAGACTCGGTTGAACTGTCTGCTTCAGGACTCAGCACACCTGCCTCAGCCCCACTGCCCAGCAAAGAGGTCTCAAGGGACTGTGTCGGGGACCGCGTCAGTGGCCATGTCAGAGCTGGGAGGGCATTTGCACACCCCTCAACCATCAACAGATAAGCTTTGTGGGGAAAAGCTGGTGCCTCTCTTCTCCTGAAGTCCTTATTTCTAAATCTGTATGTTGGGGTCTCGCTTTCTGCTCCACCTTCCGACACTACATACGGCCAACTGACAGAAACACATGGTGCCGGCCACGCACAGCCATCTCGTTGGAAGAGGAGCTGTCTTGCAGCTGCATGTGTGCCGACAGCGTCTGGGTGAGTTGATAGATGACATATTCGTTTGGGGTGGGATTCCAGGGGCTGATACAGGTGAAGGAGGAGCTAAAGTCTGCACAAGCCACCCCTTGCTTCTGCCACTGCTGACCACCAACGTACAGACGATCATCCCTATTAACATCTGTTTGAGTTCAATCTAAGCTGTAGGCTCTGCTTTGAGGGGCCAGTTTCTTCCTCTCCAAAATGGCCATGCGTAGCAATCTAAGAATACCTATTGCTGTTTTTGTTGTCATAACAGGGAAGCTGGGGGAGACTGAAACATACAAACTTTTCAAAAATTTTTGAAAAACACCCACCGTTTGTAAATTTATCAATATAAACACCTCATACATTTGGGAACAGAGATTAGAATTTACCTTTGGGGCAGATCGTCCCTTAGACCTAGAAAGAACTATCTGAATGGAGGTATTATGCAAATATAAAACAAGTATACATGCTTGATCCTGGGAGTGGCTCGCCTAGAACTATCTCCACATACTTGCAATGAGCTAGAAAAAATTGCTGGGGAAAGTGAAATGAAGCGTCCAACTCCTTCCCTTTGAGGATCAACGCTGTTAGAGTATGTCTGAGAGGGGGCAGGGCTCCCTAAGGCCAGGTGTCAGGAAGGGACGACAGGAGCCCACGGGAGGAGACACCACACACAAGACACAGGAGCTGTGGAGTGGCGATGTGGTCTTATAACGTCACCGTGGTCAGAAAGTCCACCTTTCATGTAAGACCCCTTCACCCTGGCAAGTGGCGGGGGCCGAGCAGGGTAACGGCTGACCCTTGACCACTGCCGGTGAGCCTGGGGGTCCTTGGGAACAGTTACAGAGAAGAGCCCCAAGAAAAGGCTGGACTTGCGGATATTTTGGCACACTGGGGCTTGCTGTCATTGCAATTTGGATCTTGTTTAATAATAAAAGCTGACGACCCCATTCTGTGGCCCCAGGTTCCAAATGCTCTCTGAGTGTGACCAAGAAGAAAGAAAAGGGAGTAACCAACACTAACACGCATCTCCTGCTGCTCCGTGGGAACAACCCCTCAGAGGGGCGACAGACAGATGATGACAATCCGTGAGAGCCACGTGCTCCTCGTCAGCAAGCCTGACCCTCCGGAGCCGAGAAGGGCGGATGCTTGACCGTCACATGCCCAGGCCCCTTACTGGTACGTGGGAGTGTGTATAAATGTGCTTTACACACACACACACACACACACACACACACACACACACACAAAACATGGTGCCTGAGAGGCTCTGAATCTCAGAGCCCGCACCTCAGCCTCCGCAGCACTGAGAGCGCTGGCCCCTGACGCGCCCCTGAGGTCTGCAAGCGTGGGGTCACCACGCACCGCTCTTCCTGGATTCCCCAGTCACTCACACGGGGAGCCACCCACTCTCAGGTTCCTTCGCTCCTTGAGTGAAGTGGGGGGAGGACACCGGAGTGATATCTCCCTATTAGCACTATTTAAAATCCAGCTACAACCCATTCCTCCCTTCGGCTCCGAAGGCCCACAGAAAATAAGCGGCGTTATAACAAGGGCAGCCTGGATTCTGCTCTACTGTATTTCTGAAGAAGTAAACTTCGCCCACATTTTGGTACTTTGCTTATAGTAATTTACAAACAACAAATCTCACCACTGAGGTGACCACCACGGGTGAAGACAACTGCATTCGAGAATATTCACCCTCTAACATTGCCTTTGAAGTCAGTGACTTTCTTTGGAAGAAAGAATGGTCCCAGAGAATAGCACACGTTGTCTTAAGGAATCTAATAAATGAAAAACCAATGCCAACGGATTTCTAGCTTCCGTTGCCAAAGGGCTGGCACATTTATACCTGCTGTGCTTGTCCTACAGCACCAAGTCTCACAAGGAACCAGACACAAGTCCTGACCAAGCCCTTACGCTTGAATCTGTTTCTGAAACGAAGACATCGCCACATAATACAACTAACAGATCAAATGAAGTTCATGGTCATCAATAGATTTTCTCTATTCAAGAGCACGGAGCAAATAAATGCAGAAAAGGGATGACGGTAGTGGATTTGGGAGGGCAGGCCAGGTGTTCTTTCCATGAGAGCAACTCTTCAGCTGCACATTGAGGAAGACGGTGAACCTGGTCTGGGGCGGAGAGAGTAGCTACAAGAAGACTGTACGCAAAGGGGTCGACTCCACCAGAGACAAGAGCCAAGAAGAGACACGCGGACCCACACCGCCATTCACTGTCCCCTCCAGCTCAGTCACTTGCAGAGAGAATCGCAGGCTCACAGACTGCACTTCTCTCTCCTCGAGTGGGTTGGGTGGGGTAGTCACCAAACCCAAACTAGGAATAACAAAAGCATTTGCTTGCAATTCTTGTTCCGCCACTGCATCAGCCACGTTATATAAAGAAATCCAAACCCCTATTCATCACTCCTTTCAGAACTCATCTATAATTCAACCTCTACTAAGAACCTTCACACAGTGAAACGGCTTTTACTGAGCGATTACACCTATCACCTGGGTGCAAAAGAGAGCACATTTTTCAAATATATTTCATGGGCCCCACGGGTTGTCTGCATTGCTTATGAGGGGAGAAAAATGAGCTTTCTATGTTCTACTAGCCACGTGGAGAGTATGAATGCATTATCTAATGGAAAGAAAAACGAAAGAAGAAAAATCAGGGTCACAGGGAGGAAGGAGGGGAGGGAGGCAGGCTGGCGAAATCATTAAATCTGCCTTCCGGTGCCAGTGCTACTGTGTATTTCAAAAGTGATTTTGAAAGACCCATTCAGAAAAAAAGAAGTCACTGCTATACACCTCCTGCATATGCAAATTGGTTTTCATTTAATACGGTAAGAAGGTAAGGGCCAGAGTCACAATGAAAGAAAAAAGGCCTTTGCAGGAAGATGCAGGCTAAATGAAGGGTGAGAACACAGTAAACAGCCACTTGGAAACCACAGGGGAAGAGCCTCACTTCCTTTCAGGAGGCAGCAGCTCTCGCATCTCTTAGGACTAGAAACCTACCCTTCTCCCACCCCCCACACCCCCACCAAGACTGCAGGCATGAGGCTGAATTCATTTCCACCACACGCTTTTTCTCACACGCTCAACTCCCTACGTCACCCTCCTTTGAAGCAAAAGACTCATTAATCCAATTCAAATTGCCAGCATCAAGTAAATCCTTTGCCTCAGCATTTCAATGCCAATACCAATTAAATACCAATAGCAACATAACTACTGATAGGATCTTCTCTACAGTCAGGAAATCCAGCCAGAAATCCAACTAGCATTAATTCCAACACTCCTTCATCAACTCTAATTTTACTCCGTGCCAAGAAATGCTGTCATTTGCTGGCCACGCTGATGAAGCATCCAACTGGACTGAGGTAACACCACATGCAAATAAAAAATGACAAACTGGGCTGCAGGCCACCAAACCTGAAGGATGTCTTCACCAAGGCTTCCGGGCTATCCAGCTGGGGCAATTCCTCGGCTAGGATTTCTTCCGGTGGTCGAGGGTCATGAACAATCGTTGGCCGCGGCTTCTCCTTGACATCCCCAGTGAGCCCGTCGATGAGGGAATTCCACACACAGTTCTGCGACTTAGACCCTGAGGCGTGAAGGAAGAAAAGGGGCGCCAGTGAGTTACCAACCAACTCCAAGTCCTGCTCTGCCCAACTCAGGATTTTCAAAAGGAGAGCAGGGAAATTTATGAATTTCTCATGATCACCACCAACATCAGAGGGCGCCAAAGACAACTGGTCAGGCAGTTTACGAGTACAAGGTAATTTTTTCATCCATGTGCAAAAATAGGCTAACACTCTGAATATTTTGACTCACAGCTAAGTATAATGGATATTGTATACTCTGTCTTTTTCAGTTGGCGATCAACTCCAACTCCTAATAGAGCTGTAGGTATTTATGTATCTGCTCAGCAATTGGAAGGTATGCAAAGGACTACTATTTCAGAGAACAGTAAGGTCGTTCAGACCAAGACTCCACTATGAACTCAATGTGCCTAAGGCCCAGGTTTCAAGCAAGACTCCATTTATGGAAACGCCCACCCAGAAGGGGGCCCCACCTCTAAGACTAGAACTCACTGAAGGCAGGCCCATTCCTCTGGAAGATCAAAGCCCAGGAAAACTTACACTGAGTGTTTACTGACATCCTACCTCACGGACACTTCAAACATATAAGGTGACATGAAATGGAGATGATGTCACAAAACAGGGCTCCATCGGCCAGGCAATCAAGGCCCGTATCAACAGTGGTAAGTTGCACTGGTATTATGTGACTTCAATATGATATGATGAAAATGTCACCTTACCTCTGAGGTCTCCCCTCTCCAAAACACATAACCACCCCAGGGCGGTAAGCATGTTTCTGGCTCCTGTGAGCCTGGTGCTTTCACATCTGCCACGTATGCACTCCCCCGCCACGCCGTGCTCTGGACAACCCAAAAAGGCGCCTGAGTCCCCTGACCTCGGCCTCGGCCTCCCTCCTCCCTCTTCCCTCCTCCCTCCGCTCAACTCTACAGGTAGAGTCGTGCTCCCAGGGACAGGCTTTTCAAATACACACCAAACAAACCAGAGTGCGCAGCCCCAACCCCTCCCTTACTGAGCTTTCACATTCCTGCCACTATCCACCCGCTCCAAATACCCCGAGGCGGGTACCAGACAACTAGGGACAGCCCCTCAGCTTCAGAGCCACTGAAATTAGTCAGACCAGCCAATCCTAAGCCTGCGCACCTTGCCTTGCCCCGCCCCTCCTGCAGAAACCACAGTAACGACTCCGACTGGCACACAGTCCCTGCCCCCCGACCGCACGTCCCCCGACCCACCTCAGGCCTGACCCGGGGCCTCTCAGCACTCCCTCCGTGGTGGGGCAAGTAGTTCCTCTTTTGGGATCTGTGAATATTAATAAGCTATCTTTTCAAAGGCAGGAATCCCCTGACCTGTTGGTATTTCCACACCTAGACAATATGAAAACCTTTAAAACACCCAGTCTAAGTCATGGGGAGAACGCCAGACAAGCCCCAACCGAGGGGGACACGGAGCAAAACACTTGACCAGGACACTCAAAACTGTCAACGTTATCGAAAAACTAGGAGAGTCGGGAAAAAAAGCTGTCACAGCCTCGAGGAGCCCAAGACGACGGGGTCCTGAAATTTAGAAACGACAGGACATAAAAAACTAGGGAAATCTAAACACAGTGTGGACTTCTGTTAACAATAAGGTATCAATATTGGTTCACTAATTGTGATAAATGAACCATACTAACATAAGTATGGGGTACGCGGGAACTCTTTGTACTACCTTTGAAAATTTTCAATAAATTGAAAACTGTTCTAAACTTAAAAGCTATTTTTAAAAATGAAAATAAATAATAAAATTAAAAAGTAAGTAGTTATCGTAAAGGAAGTCCATGAGCAAATTTTTTTTTAAGTGGAGCCTAAGGGCATGGCCACGACCATTACCCAATTACCCTCGGCTTGTGCTGGTTATGGTCTTCCCAGGGGAAAGGGAGCCTTCATCTTCGCCCACAAACACGGCCAGGTTGCCAAGCCCGGCGCCCGTGGAGCTGTGTCCACCCCCATCCGTGACGAGGGGGCACCCTGCCCGTCCGCACACAGACTCCTTATGGGGCCTGAGGAGACGTGCAGGGAGGGAGACCCGCTGAGCGTACACGTGACGGGCGGGTGGAGGACAGGTTTGTATGAGCACGGAATGCCCCCTCGAGGCCCTAAACCAGCCACCTGCAGCTCACAGCAGACAAAATCACCCGGTTTGTTGTGTCTGAAGGAGAGCTCTGCTGCTAGGAGCACCTCGCTGGGATCCGCGAACCCTCACCGAGGTTGGCCGCGAGTCAGCAGGCAGCTCCTATAGCCACCGTGGCCACGGCTGGCCCCCTTGGGGTGTCCCACAAACAGCCTTTGTGTCAATCAAGAGAACAATTAAAGCACATTAGCGGCAGGAAACAGACCCCCCGCCAACTCCCGAAATACAAGACAGCTTTTCGAAAGTCCTGTACATCTATCTTTATCAAATCTGGTCATATTCATGAAGGTCCGGTTCTAGGTGAAGGAAGATCTGCTTCTACTAAGTAAAGGCCTTACTGTAAACTCTTCATCCCTTTCCCTTCATTCTCTATTTATTAATTCAATATACACATATTAATTCCCTCCTAGGCCAGGTTCCATTCTGGGCTCTAGAAACAGCAAGAGAAGTGAGACCCTTTCCCTTGGGGACCAGTTAACCCCTAAGCAATCACAACAAACAGGCAATGCACCATCACTAGGGGCAAATGAAGTGCTGGGGAGGCAGGGCAGGTCTACCCACCCGGCCTCGGGGCCCTGGGGAGGCTGCACAGGCGGCAGGACATCCGCTTTGGGCCTCCCGCAGAGACAGAGCCTCGGCGGGCAGGCCGGGGGGACAGAGGAGAGGGTTCAGGGAAACACCGTGTGCAAAGGCTCAGAGGCCAACCAAGCAGCATGTTCGCTGAAGTTGGAGCAAAGTGGGAGGGTCCAGTGGCCAGAGAGAAGGCCAAAGGTGGGCTGGGCCAAGCGCAATGTGCCTTGAATACAAGGCTAATTATTTGAGAATTTGTTCCATAGGCAAAAAAGGACTAAAGATTTTTAAGCGAGGTTGTGGTGGTGACGTGAGCACATCTGTGTCTCAGGAAGGAAGCTGGCGCGCTGCACACCCAGGGGGACAGCGGGGATACAGGAAGGGGTCCATGGATCCACTTTACCTGCAGACAAAATGGCAAAGTCTTACGTACGTACACATGACCAAGTTTTAAGTATATGGAGGAGCAATTAATAAACTACAAATTCATGCAAGCGCACGTCATAGCTTTTTTACCATTTTCTCAGTCAGTGAATCAGAAGGGTCATGTGACCTAGACTATCTCTCTTTTAGGGGTCCCAAATGGACCTGTGATAATACCTCCAGACCTTGCATCAACAGCTCCAAAGACACTAGCACATTTAAAAGAAGACTGTGGTAGAACCTATAAGGAGGATTCACTCCATATTTGTTCCCAACTCCTTTTTCGCTTGTCTTCCTCTTCTAAAAAGGCTAGAAAACACTATCCTCAATTTTCCGGCCTCGCTTATGACTATGGCTACCCATATGTTATCATTATGGCCAATGAAAGGTAGGTGGAAATTCCTGGGGCTAGTGTCTCTTTCTGAATAAAAAGTATAGTCCTCAGCAAGAAAAGGAACACATTTTTTTGTCCCTTTAAACTCTACCTTTCTTATTTTTCCCTTTTGCCCTCCTGCCTTCCTCCTACTGGAAGGAAGAAGACACGGTGTCAGAGCTTCAGCAGCCATCTTGTGACCATGAGGCAGCAAGCATGATGGCAAAAGCCTGCATCACGCATATGGGAAAGTGAGAAGGTGGGAAAAGCCTGGGCCTCTGACAGCGCAGTTGAACGGCTTCCCCAGTTCCATCTCCAGATTTCTCCAGGTGAGCCATATAAACACCTACTTACGTCATTCTTCGGCCTTTGTTTGTAGCCAAATACATTTCAAAATGTTACATGTATGCACATCATATCATATGAACACATTCCCCATATCCAAATTGATATTTTAATAAATCCTCCAATTAGCCTGTGAAAGGCATAATTATATTGCATACTTTTCTCATGTTAAAATTACAAATTTGTTAAATGTGAACCATTAAAGCACACCATCATTTCATAAGCTATTTTGGCATTTCTTCACTTTTTTTTAATATTCTGGGAAACTCAAAACATGGAAATAGCCTATGTTTCTCCTGACCTTTGAGAGTCCAAAGAACAATTACTCTCATGGGATAGCCCATGGTTTGTTTTTTCTGTTTGTTTTACTTTGTTTCATTTTGTTTTTTTACTTCAAAGTCAGGGGTGGGGGGAGGGTATCTTTGCTCAAGAAAATGTGAGGAACCACCAGCATAAGTTACCCATGTTCCAGCTGGGGGGCGTGCAGGAGCCTAGAACTGGGGTGATCAGCTAGAAGGCAGATGAGCCACGAGAAAAGGAGGGACCTGGGAAATAACGAAGACACAGAGGAAAGGGTGGTGTTGGGAGAGAAACAAGGAGCATCAGTCAGACTGGGTGACTGATTGGTTGCAGGGAATAAAGAAGAGAGAAGTGTCGAGATGGATTCAGGTCGCTGTGAGGCAGCCAAGTAGACCGTGGTGCCCCCAGAAAATGCTGGAGGCAGAGCGCAGCCCGCGGGCCCATCGTTGACCCACGTTCTGAAGAGCTGCGGTTCAAGGAAGAAAATACACAGAGGTCCTCTCCGTATTCCTGAAGGGGGAGCCCGTGACTGAAATGAGAAAACTGTCTTTTGGCAAATACTTTGTATTGTGACTAACACAAAGATTTTTCACAGCATGATAAAGTGAAAAAACTACCCATCTCACCAAATCTAAATAAGAAAACTAAAATAATACTAAATGTTTAATACTTTTTTAAATTTTTTTAAAGATTTTATTCATTTATTTTTAGAGGGGGAAGAGAGGGAAAAAGAGAGGGAGAGAAACATCAATGTGTGGTTGCATTTTGCACGCCCCCTGTTGGGGACCTGACCCGCAACCCAGACATGTGCCCTACACTGAG